ACGAGACTATATACGTTTGGGTTGCTGTTGTACATTTTTGGGCGCGAGACTGCCAAAAACTTGTACAGCTACAAACTGAATGTGGCGTCCCCACTATTTCGGTGAGCTACTCACCAACATTTTGGACAGTCACGCTCCCAAAATTGTACCGCCACACACCAAAACCATAGTGGCGCTGCTGTCACTTACCTTATTTCGCTGCAGTCCAAAAGGTCTCTCAGTGTAGTCTACATGTTTTTAATGTCATAAAAAGGTGAAAAAGTTTTTCTAAGGGTGTGAAATGTTGACATTTCACACCATTTCACACAATATATAATTATTATAAAATTGATTTTATAATAATTATATATTTAAAGAAAGCATTTAAAAAGGTTAATTAGCATTACAAGTACACGAGATATAAAGAATTTTGGTGTTACCTTAAAATATATAATAAAAAATCTTTCTTTTACAGATTTGTTTTTATTGACCAAACATTAATATGATATATATATATATATGTCGTAGGCAATTAGAAGAATTCGCCATTTAGCTAAATGCCTAGGCGTTTAGCTAAATGACACAAAATAGACGAATGGACTTGGAAAATGATTAAATTCGTCTATTTGCCTGAATAGATTAGTCATTTAGCTAAGTGACTAGTCATTTGGCTATTTGCCTGAAGCTGTGTCGGCAAATAGAAGAAAATGGTTAACAGAAATTATAAACAGGAGCTGGAAACAAAAGAAATTTAATTTCTGAAACAAACGTCAGATATGTACATTTAATTTGTAGAAATTGTAAACAAATGATCAAAACAAAATAAATTTATTTCCTTAAATTACGTTACCAAACCAAATTTTACTTAGTATAATCATATTTCCCGTACCCTCTAAGTGAAAATTGTAGTTGACGCGAATTTTTATTTAAATTTCTATTTTTTTTTACCAAAAATGAGTGTAAATCGCGATGAATTTGAAGAAAAATTGAAAGTGTTTAACAGTGGTCAAAAAAGTAATCGAAACGCTTGGAATAAAAAACGTTTATTGGAAGTGACACAAGTACTTTTAGAATCTGAAGGAGTGAAAACAACGAAAATTGTATATCAAATTGGCACAAAAGATGGTCTACTCAAAGGTTGGTTTACTGGCAGCAATGTTATAACATTTTCTGACGTATCAACAGACACGCTAATATCTCTGAGAGAAGCAGCAGCTAAGCAGTCTATCAGTGGTGGTCAGGGCTTTAAAAAGTGTAATTGTAAAGCCAGTCAATCGCAATGTAAAACCAAACGATGCATTTGTTTCAAATCGGGTACTCTATGTAATTCTCGTTGCCATCAGAGCCAACCATGTTCCAATAAATAAGTAAAATTTAATTTAACTTAACGAATAAATAATAATTAACATTTAAAAATTTTTCTTTCAGTAAACCCGAAAAAATTTTTCTCTGTATTCTATGTAAACTATAATATATAATTCAATTTCTATGTGTTAACCATTTTCTTCTATTTGCCGACACAGCTTCAGGCAAATAGACGAATTTAATCATTTTCCAAGTCCATTCGTCTATTTTGTGCCATTTAGCTAAACGCCTAGGCATTTAGCTAAATGGAAAATTCTTCTAATTGCCTACGACATATATATATATATATACACATACATATTAACACGTAAACATTGTTAAATATATATTAATAGATTTCCTTACAGTAAGAAAATTTAATCTAAATTAGCTAAATCTGTTTTTTTCCAACACCAAAAATTCTAATAATTCTTTTTTTAAAATCTACTAAAATATATACGGAAACTATATATCTCGAACAATTTTTAAGCTACAGGGTTGGTTTTTTTAAATTAGGGGAGACCGGGGCTGAAAGTGCCGGGGGTAAGTTCTGTCGACAGGAATATCTCAAAAACAAAATTTTTTTTTTTGAAAAGTGGAAGTGACAGAAGTATTGTTTTACTTATGCGCATCTTTGGCAACTTTTTTGATTTTGTTTGCTTCACGGAATAATTAGCTGTTTGCAATTTGGTGCTTTGGCGTCACTTACGTGCAAGTTTCCATGTTTACACTTTTTCGTCTATTTTTTGCATTTTTAAAAATATCGATACGTATTTTTTTTAAAATGATACAAATTTATCGACGGATTTAATAGTGTATGAAACCTAACATTTAATTTATCTAGTTTTTTAATATTTGATAAAAAGTGAGCGTCGACGCAACGAAGTTAATTGTGCCTTTCGCTTGGGGCTGGTTGTGCCGCTGTCAATCGCTACATAACCATAATCTACTATTGCCTCGTTTGTTCGAATAGTTATTGCAACCCGAAATCAAGAGAAAAGTTGATTCAATGCATAGTTTGCAAAAACTGGACACATTTAAAATGTGTGAAGGGTAAAAAAAGGGTCAGTTATATGTGTGTCAATTGTAATTTCAATAAATCGCATTCGGAATAAGTATTCATGTCTTAAAAATTATTTATTAATCAGAAAGAAGTGTTTTTACAATTAATTAACGATACAAATAATTACTTCAAAAAATATTTTAAAAGAATGACTAATTATGTAATTGTAAAATTTAAGTCAGAAATGTTTATTTATTTACAAAAATCTATAAATGTTACGATTGTTGGAAAACTCTTTTGAATGTTTATAATAAAAATATTTATTACGAAAACTATATTTTAAGTGACTGACTAACTATGCAATTATAGAATATAAGTCAGACAATGTTTATTTGTACTTACTAAAATCTAGAAATTGTTCCTAAAAACCTTTAAAAATTTATAACAAATGATTAATAAATACTAGTAAATCATATATTGGCAATAATTATTTTATTTCTTACGCGTAAAATCATTTGCTTCAACTGAAACAACTAAAAAATCTGAACGGCACAACCGACCCCGGCGTCGGCACAACTCTCCCCAGCGCGGAGTTCAAAGTGCCGTGTTGCCTCGCTGCACAAAAACATTTTTTACAAAAAAACTGTTCAAAATTATCAAAAAATAATAATGGATTTAAAAACTACATTAAATTTTAAAATAGATAGACTATATAGATTAAAACAAAAATTTCTCATTTTACTAGCATTTTATTTAGTTTTCTCAAAATCGGCACTTTCAGACCCGGTCTCCCCTACTCAGAATTTTTTACGCTTTCTTTTTCCTACGAATTATAAAATCTAATGGGAAGCGGCAATTTGCAATAGGGTCAACTGGGGTAAATCCGAACGCTTTTAGTAAGTTTCAACAATAACATAAGTTTTTTCTTTAAAAAAAAAATACTTCCGGTATTCTGGTGCATGAAGTTGTTACTTTACTTCCATAGAACAATTTTATGGGGTAGAAAAAATTTTTGATAAATTACAATCGCAGGAAACTTAGCGTTCATATTTACCTCGATACTTTGCAACTTTCCTAAAATATGGGGGTAAATACGAACGCCACTGTATTTCAGAAAAATCTTAGGGAAAATAAATTTAAAGTATTGCAATTGTTAAACTTATATAAAAACTCAAAAAAAATACGATAATAAACCTATTATGTAATAATGCATCATATATAAATACAAAAATCAAACAGGTTAAAAATTAAAATGCATTACACAATTAAAACCTTCAATAACTTTATCAAATCATAACGGATTTTTGCAAAACTTGGTACAGAAAGTATTTTGGAGTGATTGAATGTAAATACAAAAATAAAAGTCAAATTTTTTAAATTCAAAATGGCGTACTTTCCTAAAACTTATTTTTAAAAATGATCAAATTTGCTAACCCTGAAACCCCCCGAGTAACAATTTTCGAGCGAATCCAATGAATTTTTTAATTCTCGTCCGCCATTTTGAATTTTGAAAAACTGACTTCAAATTGGTAATTAGCGACCCCAAAAACCGTAGAATACCAAATTTTATTAAGATCCTGAAAAACTTTTTTCAACAAACCATTTGGCAAAAAAATTGAAACACTCCTTCGAGAGAACAGAGATTAAGTTTCTGCTTATTAATTACTAACGAGGACACGTATAGAAAGAAAAACTTTTTTCTAGGTACTTTTATAATGTTAAAATAATAGTGTAATCAAATAAAAACAATTTTGTGTGGCTTTGATGTAAAAAAAAATTATTAAAAATACCGTTCGGATTTACCCCAGTTTTCCAATTTTCTTGGGTAAATACGAACGGTCTGATATTATTAATAAAATTTTACAAAAGGCAAAAATCAAATATAGTTTCTGTTCTAGTATTCATAACAAACAATTATAAATAATAAAATGAATTTTTAGCTTCTTTTTCTTCAAATACGAGACAAAATACTGAAAGAGTGTCATCTTTGATTTTCAATCTTTTTTGCAATACTTGTTATCTTTGTTTATGCTGTTGCTAATTAACAAACAAAAAATGGGATAATACTTAGAATCTCTTCAAGAGGATCTGAGGTAAAAATTCTCATATCGAACTTATTTTTAAAAATTTTAATTAAGCTGAAATAATTAGCGTTCGGATTTACCCCCCGTTCGGATTTACCCCGACTGACCCTAAACTGTTTTTTTGACATACCTTGTTTTCTGACTAATTTGACTTGATTAAAAGTTCAAAATATTTTTATTTAATTTAAAATTCAAATTAAATTTTGGTGGATCTGCAGATTACCATTCATTTATCATTGTACGTCGTTTTAACGTTTTAACTTATTTAGATATATTTTTGAATTTGTTGATTAATTTTTTATCTACTTTATGGAAGAAATATTCATTTCTGGAAGGACGATATATATTGATAGCTTTTCATATGTGCGACATAATATATCGTATATCTAACGTTCTCATCATACTTTTATGTATTTTTTACATCTTTAAACTTTTTATATTTTTTGATTTATATATATATATATATATATATATATATATTTATTACTAAATAAATACTTTTGGTAATTTTGGAACTTATTTCTATTGAAACTATTGGATTATGGGACATTTGGTTTGGAACTTTTACCCTGTATATCTAAAATGCTCACCTTCATAACTATAATCACTAATGACTCCAAAATTCAGAATCCTTGTTAAAAAATAACTTATCACTAGAAACTGTAATGTTAAGTTACATCACTAAAAAAGCTTCACATCATTATAAATCACATGAGAATTTTATTATGTTTCTTGAAAATTGAATTAATTGTTACAACATTATTATCTTGGTATAACGGTTTATAAACTATTTTAATGTTTTTTAAAAAATATTTTTATATGTATGTAATTTAATAATGCATATACGCTGAGGCTATATATAAAATTCTCGAATTAAAATCATCTATAGATTCTATGTAGCTTGTCCGGTGGCCCGGTGAAGACTGTTATGATATGTTCCGGATTTGCCCCACCAAGTCGGCACATCTATCTCCAACAGAAACATGCACATCGTCTATTGAATCATTGGGTTGTGTTGTGTACGATTTCATATTAGAACGGTAGAATTTTTTATTGTAGAATTTGGGGCGTTATAAGGCAAAGTGGTGGGGAAGAAGGTGCACTTTCAGAAGAGGGAAGTCACAAACTCCGCCTCGTTCACGCCCCTGAATCTCGAAACACACCGACATATGGTATCCTACACTAAAGTAATTTGTAAATACATGCACACTATCGAAACAAATATTTGTTAACCAATTGTAAAAAAATATATCAATCCTCTAGAATACGATATGAAAGGGGCTTCTCTATATGTTATTACCTACATTTGTTTTAAAATACTCTTCAAATTCTCCATATTGATATAATTTGTTATAAACAAAAGAAGTCTTTTTGTAGGGGTTGTAACAATGTTCCCTTTTCTGACCATACTAATAACATGGCCTAAAGCTAAATAAATATGTAAAATGAAGGAGTTCTTATGTGCGCCTACAAATGTCAACTATATATATATATATATATAAGACTCGCGTATAATATTAGATTTTTAACCAAAACAATTTTTGTAAAGGTTAGCAAATATATGACAACCGAACACCATATATGCCGTGGAGTGATGCATTAAAAAGTAAATATTTTACACACTGGTACAAAAAGTGAAAAAATAATATTTGTAAATACTTTATTGATAATATTTTGATATTTCCATACAAAATTGAAATATCTTGTTAGCGGAAAAAATCAATGTAATACATAGTTGTTGCGAAGGCAGCTTATTTAGTGCAATTTTCATGTTTTAAAAATCTGCAACCTATAAGCCATGTTTATTTTTTTTCTTTATAATATATATATATATAGTTAAATAATGCATACAATAACTGCGTTTTGTAACATATAGTTTAGTGTTTATATTTTTTTAAGGGGTTGATTTATTTCTATTTTAAAACAACTTTTCTCCTACGAAGAAAATAATCATCATTTCTTTTTATATTTCGCACAGTGTATGTATATATGACAATTAAAAAATTACTTTAATGTAACATTTATTACAAAATGAAAACGATTATTCCTTTAAACTTACTGTAAGTTTACAATGTAATCTTGTATATAAGTTTGCTTTATTCTTGTACACAGTAAAAACCTGCGGGTTCACTTTTGTTGCTTATATCATTCAGAGTTCTGGATCAAAATGAGTAATTGACAAACTTCAAGTGACTCAAAATCATCCTTGCCAAGATTATAATTATTAAGTTGGTCTAAGTAATATGGCGCCATCTGGTGATTAAGAAACAAAGCAAATCCATATCTAATATCAGAATTTAATTTAACAGCGTTGACAATTTATTTATAATTGAAAATTGAAATAATGAAAAATAAAGTACATAATAATGAAAGTTAATGAACATTATGTTAGTATTAAAGATAATTATTCCGATGAAAATTTAAGTTTAAAAATTAATTGAACTGGTTTGTCAATTACTATTATTACTACTTTTTAAAGAATTAATATTTTGATTCAAATAAAAAACATTAAAATAATAATATTGAATAATAATACAGTTAGTTGGGGTAAATGGTGACAAAATCGCTATTTTTCACAAATTACGTAAGTTTCTTCCTTTAAAATAGGTAATATTTGCGGGTTTATTTTTTTTAAGTTGTTATTTACATTCCCAGGATTAATTTTATGCATCAGAAAAAAAATTAGATAAGCTTTAAACGCATGAAACTCGGCAATAAATATGTATTAAATTTTTTTCAAGTGCAGTGTGTTTGCTTATTAGAAACAATCATTTTAATTCATATTTTTTGAATAATTACTTGTTATTCGATAATAAATGTCATTTGGTCTTTGACTCAAAATGATCCGGATCAGGCTCATTCTGAGTAAAACTCAGAATGAGTCGAACCAGGGTTAATTTTTGCTGCGTATCAAAATGATCCAGGTAGCCGGATCATTTTTATCCCAGGTTTCTACTGTGCTCAGAGGTTGTGCACATAGTACGTCACACGATTTTTGAACAATTTAGACCTTCCCTCCCCCATGTCACACTTCGTCCCAAACCTTGAACCACCCCCATAAAATCACGTCACACACTTAGATTTTTTTGAACGTAATGTTGTATAATCATACATATATACAAGTTTAATAAATAAAACGACATTAAAAAAAGTGTGACATAACGATCGCGATCGCCACCCTCTCTCTCTTCGTCACAATTTTCTGACCCCCTCCCCCCCTAGCTGATATATATGTACGTTAAATCCATGAAAACATTTTTCAATCTTAAACCACTGAAAAAACAAAAATTGAAAATTTGAATTAAAAGTTACAAGATGAATTTTTTTTCTTAATCTAGATAATTATAATTTTTTATCTTGAAAAAATTAATATTTTAAAAATCTGGGTTTTCTCAATATTAATATCCAATTTTTCTTTTTATATTGGAGGAATATATTCCTAGGTATTGGTATAGTGTAATCAACGCATATGTCTATTTGTAGGCACATTGGTCAATTGTGAGTCGGAGTAACGATGCATCATACAAATAAACGTAGGTACCTGGCGATAATGAAATCCTCACTCCCTGCAGCAACACCCTAAAGTTTGGGGATCTCTAATGAACCAGTAGCACGTTAGTTAGAGCTGTCAGTAGAGGAAAATGTGTGTGTTTCGTGCATCTTGTTACTTTCTAACAATGTACAACTGTTAGTAAGGATTATACGAACGGTCTGTGTGCATATATGTAGCATTCACTGATCCATGGATACAAATAAATCCTATTACAACTTACAAGTATATTTTGCTTGTTTAGGGAACGAATATATAGTCAGAAATAATAGAAATTTTATTCTCTTACAAATGTTCATTTCACAGAACTGAATATATTCTAGCTTATATATGAAATAAGAGAAATTATTATCCTATCTATACACTAAAAATATGGTTTCGTTAAATTAATTCAAATTATATGAAAAATATTTACTCTGATCAAATATTTTTAATTGCATCTAACAAATATATTTTATATAATAATCATCTTTGGGAATCAGTGTTCCGTGGCACATTCTTATTAGGAACATTTGTTACATAAATAAATATAAAATTAACAAAACGTAGAAAAGTAAAATATGAAATCGGGTACCTTTTTGTAATTCTGGGTTTACAAAAAATCTATCAAACAAATTAGTTCAAGTCTCATTGAAAATTCTTCCTTGTACATTAGAGAATGAGAAAATAAGGTCGATGGCATGAAAAAAAATTTTTTGATCAATTTAAACCAGGTTTTTCAAAAAAATGCAAAGTACCCGGTTTTGTCCCGATGGTGGGGCAAAACCGGGTACTATCAAAAAAATATATAAATCACGAAATATTCTTTAACTTTTTATTCAATTATTATTATATATCACTTACATTATAAAAAATAATAAATATTCAATAAATTTAATCAAAATATATTATATTAATAATGAATAATACTCTCTAAATCTGAATTAGGGTAAGTCCGGGGGAGTTGGCCATAGTTTTTATAAAGGCTTGTAAAAATAAGAAGAAAGTGATTTATGTATTAACTTTTATTGCTAATTAAACATTGAACATTTAACTTACAAATAATAATAGAAATGATAAATTTTTTAAATGTAAACAATCTTAAAATTAATATTTTTAAAAAAACACGTTTGGCCATCTCTCCCGGAATGTACGGGGGAGATGGCCATAGGCGTACGGGAGAGATGGCCAATACTTTAAAATCATTATTTGGCTTTTCGCTTTATTATAATTCATTATTTAAAGTGATTATAATGTCTTCTTTTCTTCTTCTGACCACATTTCGAACATTTATCATTAAATTCAGTGCAATTTTCATGAAGCCAAAGGTGACAATCATTGCACTGAATCCAGTCTTCGATAAGCGCTCTCTGTTTGCCTGTCTTACCAACACAACAAGTTTACAAGGTATTTTTTTGAGATATATCAGAGTGGTTTCCAATTTATTTTTGTGTCCTGAACACGATCCCGGGTTACAAAATGTGATACGCAATTTTAGAACCCGGAATCGGGTTCAGCACACAAAAATACATTGGAAACCACTCCGCTATATATATAAAAAAGTGTTATTTTGTATACCTGTGTTATGATTTTTTATAAACGTTTTTAAGATTTAATTACACAATAGTGATTATTTTATTTGATCATATTTAAATTTGAAAATCTTTGTTGGAGTTTCTTGTTGTAATATATGTCATAAAAAATGTCATTTGCCTCAGAATTAATGTTTTTTTATCGAACACATGAATCTCAAGGGTGCTAATAACTTAAACAGTATGGCCATCTCACCTCGAAAAAACATGACCATCTCTCCTAATGTCAGGAGACAAATTGACACAACTAAAATTTAAATAAATAAATAAATTTTTTGAATGAATATAAGGTTATGACAAAGCTTGGCTCATGTACTTTAAAGAAAAACATGAAATTCAAAATTATTCTATAAAATAACATAACACCAGTGAGAAATGTAAACTCATCACTTTTTTTCCGAACTAGTCAAAACAACAAATCAGATTTTTACTTACTTTTTCAATATTTTTTGGGAAGTTTTTTCTTTTAATTGTGTTTTGCCACAAAATAAAGCAAACTAATCTTTAATAAGCGATACCTAGCAGCAAATTCTATAAAATATTTGAATTGGCCATCTCTCCCGCATGGCCAACTCCCCCGGACTTACCCTAGTAGTTTTCTACTAATGAAAGAGTGCGGATTCGTTTACCAATTGAATTAGTAACAGTTTTGACTCTTTTTTAGTAGAAAACTACTAATTGCTTGTAGAAAACTACTAATTCATTGAGTAAATCGGCTTACGAAATTTAAAATAGTAAAAAATAAGATTTACTCCATGAATTAGTAGTTTTCTACTAGCAATTAATAATTTTCAACTAAAAAAGAGTCAAAACTGTTACTAATTCAATTCGTAAACGAATTTCCACTCTTT